TTTTCGTTCTGCTCTCTGTTGTGAAAAAGGTGATTACTTTAAACACGGACAGCAGACAAATAATAAACGGTCGAGCAACAGCTCCCGAGACGATGTATTAGGACTGCAGTTTAACTGCGTGAACTTAACTGGAATGTGAGAGTATGGATCGGCAGTCCACGGGTCATCTCTGTCAGCCGCAAGGAAGGAGCATGGCAAAATCAGTCATTAGGCGCCAAAAGTGGCTGCAGTTATTCAGGTAGTAATAGGGTCTTCATGTTTTATATGTATATGGTCGCTTCGGAGAACAAGAGGACAGAATGCGTGTGTTATGTCTGGCAGATGAAGTGGACTTGGGGTAGTGCCACCTCGACTAAGACATTGGCTACGCCCTGCACTTCAGTGATGGACGTGAACCTCCTAAATTACCTCTATTCTACCCTATATATTTATTTAATCAGCCAAAAAAACGGCTGTCATTCGCTTCTATTTCTTGGCGTTGTGAGAGAGGTATCAACCGGAACGAGTCCCATCCAACTACAAACAGACAAGAACGGTACCCTCTTATGGCCTTCTAGAACTGAAGGCCAGGCTCTTAAACACCTGCGATGGGCGATGCACCCGTGCTACTAGAGGGGTGGCGAGTACAAGAACGCACCATGGTGCAACGTAACAGGCAGACCATCCCCGAAGGGCGTGCCCGCTCATCATACGGGGTTTTCATCCCTCGTGCATGCTACCAGATCTGCAAGGTGACAAACCACCAAGCGCCTATGTATGCGGTTTTCGCATTAATAAATAACTCCAGCTACCGGATATTTTATCCGGGTGGGGGAAAAGCCAATCCAGTAAAACAGCTTAGTCACTTCGAACAGCCACTGGAAGAGGCAAGTCATGAAGGCAAATAAAACAGCAACTAACTTCCGGGCTATATAATCATAATAGAGGTATTCGTAGTCTGTGTACTATGGCTAAACGATGAGGAGACAATAATGTGAACAGCCATGTCAAGTGGAGGTGCACCACAGTGTTATGTGTGTGTGAATGAGTGGGCTGTGGAACCAAACAAGTATTTCATTCATAGCGCATCTTCAGGCCAACCATTTGGTACGCGTACACTGCTCATGATCAGAAGATGCAGAATGGCTATGGACAGCGAGGAAATAAGGCTTCGGTTTGGTTAAGCTTAGTTAAATTTAGTCTAAGCAAAGCACCAGACATTAAATAGGGCTGAGAGTTATTCAGAGATGGGACTCGGCTTGAAGGAACAAGGAGTAAGTTGACTTGGCACAAGCGATTAAGGTAGTGGTAAGGAAATTTAATAGGGTCGGCGCAGACGAGCATGAAAGCAATTACGATGGCAGGCACCGGAACCTCTCCAAAACAAACTTCCGTTTCGGACAGCAGATGCAGATGTAGTCCCAGGAAGTGAAACGCCTGCACCAGATATACCTAAGGTGGTGATTTACGGAGAGGAACACCTGGGAGGGTTCCTGTCTCACGTGTGGATTAACGCTTGATGGTTCATACTATGACCAAGGAATAGGGAAATTTGGAAGTGTTTATGGGCACTATTTCGAAAAAAGTATGCTAGACGGTATGCCACCCACACGTTGGGAATAAACCTTATTATTATTATTATTATTATCATTATAAAAGCTGTGGCGCGAAAGACACTCGGCTCCCACGGAGAAATGTAAGAATTGAGGGTCTTTCGAAAGTGTTTATGAGACTACATAGGACAGATACTTGAGTGAGGCTTGTTCTATGGGTTGGAATACATAAAAAGGAAAAGTTCTGTCTAAAGACTGTTCAACCGATTGACAATTGGAGAATAATCCAGACTGGTGGGTATTATGCTGGGGCCACGGAGAAAATTCAGGTCAGCAGTAAGCCATCTAAACCCGTCAGTAAGTTGGACGATGCAGAAGGCCCAGGTTCAACCTAATGCGCTTCAGCTATAAGGGCCCCAGCCCATGAAGAATAAGCATCCCGGGCAAATCTGGCATCGACGTGAGTGATCTTGGAATTTTGGAATGACGAAATAAAGGCATGAGTTAGGGGTCCAGAGGGACAAACAGTTAAGATCAGACTGAATGTTCGCAATAGTAAAACAGTGTAAGCTAACTTGATATCACAAGGAAATAGAAAGGAGATCGTGGTCCTCAGAGGATTCATTCATCCGACTTACCGGAATCAGACATATCCATGAACGCTATGAGCGGGAAACCGCTTACTCTGACAGCACAGCGTCATACTAGGCCACTAGGCTATAGAATCAAGGAACTCGATGCACTGTGGAGGCAAACGAATGAATGTCAAAGAGGAGCGCCATGGGTTGAAGACTCAAGGATTCCTGGGCACGCACCAAAGGAAGAAAGTCACCCAGCTATCAGCAATCAAGATGGTCTGGTAATTCGTAAGCCCCGGAACCCTTGAGGATAAGAGATTCGTTCACTGAACCCATGAAGACAAACTACGATACCATGTTCCGTCCCCGAAAAGGCAAATTCACATCATTTGAGTACGTGCGACGACAACGAAGGAACAAGTCGATGGCCACTTCCTCGATGTTTTGAGACAAACAACCTTCAAGCAACACAATGGTGGTGGCCAAAGCCTACAGCCAACGCCGTGAGCCATGTGCTCTAACTAAGAGACTTTGTCACACAAGATAATGGCATGGCAGAAACACGGAGAGCCTCCAACCAACTTGCCTTTTACGGGAGGTAGCGTGGACAAACTCTCGCACAAAACATTCCCTCGGGACACTGGGGTTACAGGGACTCCAAGAATCCTGGAGGAAAGATTGCTTAGTTCGGTCCAACATCTCCAAGTGATAAAGCATCAGTCATTCGATGAAAAATACCTCCATTTACTCAGATACAAGCGCTGGCCATCCCAATATACAAACCTGGTAGCCGCTTATCGCCCAGGGACTAGGAGTCCGTTGAAGTTAGTGATATAATGTGCGAGGTGATGAAATATATTGTGAATCGCGCTGTTCAAACCAATCTTGCTACTGAAAATTCGATATACTTAGACAGCATGCCTGCCCCTTAAACCGTTGTTGAACGATCACCATGCTCTTATTGATAAGCAGCATCACAAAAAGCAAAGAGAAGAACCCATAGTAGATGAAACATCTTTGATTTCCAAGAAGTATACAGTTGAGATCCACGCGTTCTACCAATCTATAAACTAGAGGTCTATGGGTTTGTTTCCGTGAATCCGTGAAAACCACACGGATTCTCGTCGGACTATAAACCACTGGCTATCTGGAGGCCACAACCACGACAGTGGTGAATGCCGGGGTCAGCACCTACTTTACGTCATTGTTTATGGTGGATTCTGCATAAACGGGTACTAAACGCCTGGAGTCTTCCAAACGAGCAAAGGAACTGTCCGAAAAATACAAATTAGAAGCGACCTAGTTCAACACTCATATTGCTTTAATTTCCGACCATTCCGTGAAGCCCGGCCTCAAGCAATTTTGTGTGAACATGCAGCAGTGCCGGAGTGCATGTAGTCATTATGTGTTATCTAGATGTCTTCTGTTTGGATTGCGAAAATTGTCAAGGAGAAACTACGAACAGCCTCTAACCGACTTGGTCTTCACGGTGGAGGACATTCGTCAACTCCTGCACAAGATCAACCCATTCTGCGCGTTGGGGCCCGACGAGGTCCATCCAAGGATCCTAAAAGAAACGCCTCCACATTGGCAAACCATTTACCCTTGGTGTTTCGGCAGTCGCTTGACGAAGG